TATTTATGGTAAAAGAAATGGTAATTGGTATGAATGTCATATCTCGTAATTTTTGGTTGTAGAGATTTCTCATCCGTAGCACATAGGATCGTCATTTCTGACCATTTCTTCGAGTGATGGCTACAGAATTTAGATCGCTCTATCTGATGCAACTACCAGAGTTGTGTGAATAGGATTAAAGCATGTCAGAATTGATCACAACGGATTGAAACCTTATAATTCCATTTCAATTTCAATCTATTCTTTCATGCTTCAGCCGTATTCGGTGAAGTACGATAGTTGCATTGGAGAAAGCAATGTAAAATGTGTAGTTATCATCAAAAGACTTCATAAGTATTGACAGCTCTAAGCAGTGCAGATAGGTTGTTTTGACTGTGAAAAGTTAAAAATCAATGCATCCATCATAATTAGTTATGATTCATTTCCGCATAAGCGGATGATAATCAACTATCAAAAGTAACAGACTATAATCGATTTGGACTAAAAGATCTATTGTAATTGATTGTTTCGCCAGCTTTTACGGGATGCGATCGATTCTTCATGATTGAAGTTCGAATTATTGGAAGAAAATCATTGGTTTTTTTTTCTTACTCCATGGGAGAGTTCTTACGTGGATTCTATGCAGAATCGAACTTTGCGCTCAGCAAAAACAATCAGAGTGATAGTACAGGCCGTCGAGTCGATAATTATTGTGTTTTCTAGACTACCAATTTCAGAAAAAAAAAGTTTTGGACCATATTTATGCATTCAGACATGTAGATGTGAAGTCTGAGTATGGCTCTCTTTTCCTGGTGTCTACATCCACACCCATATAAAATATTAGATAAGCAGCGTACTTTACTTACGTACGAGTTTCGTTTGCAGGTAACATTTCTCAGCTACATCAACTAACTCAATAATCACAAAACTATTGAGATTAATTAGAAATCCCGAATCTTTTGAGTCAAAATCGACCCATTTCGACTGATCATCGATCACACATATACACTTTTTTCACCGTGCGCACGATTAATCAAGCGGGGTGTCATAGATCTGTAGGAGTTCCGAAAGACTATAAGTAAACCTACCTATCTTTTTTTTCAGATAAATCATCGCACGGAGTATCATAACACTTATAAAGAAGGGGATTCGAAAAAAGGATAACCTGAAAGAACCTGAATTCAATCCAAGTTTGAACGTCGAAATCATGAATACTATTCTCTTCGAAATTTTTATCAGTTTTCTATTTCTACCATCCAGCAACTCATTCTTCACTGCACCAGTATCGACCATTCTAACTTATCCTCGACAAACTATAACATGTTGGGGCCAAACTGATACATTGCATAATGGAACCATGACCTACCAATCTGGTCTCGATAATAAATTAACTCATTACTGTATCGTTATAATCAGCACTTCACTTGTGAATAATCTATTTCAAGTTAAAACTGATCGAACCTTCATTAGTGGATGGAATATGTATCGTAATATGGCTATCCATCAATGTAACTTCTCCACAACTATGGACATTGGTTATGGAAATTGCACTCTCTATTACTTCCAGACAGCAATATCAATGCAGATGTGTATCTGTTCAACGAATAACTGCACTGCTACCTATTTAACTTGTCAAACATCGGTCGATCAGGCACGTTCATCACCTCCACCATTATTACCTGTTCTTCTACCATCGTTGACAAACGCGATAACGTGTCAAGACCTCGGTGTCAATATGTCTGCTCTGAACAATACCATATCCCCTATGTATTCAGCTTGTAATCGTAGGAATTTTTTGTTTCCAGGAGATATGTCGAAGTGTTCTGCCTATACTCCTAAGCACACTGTTATATGCGCAGTTTTCTACGATCCAACACAAGGCATCTATCAACAAATGGCTATGATCGAAGGTACTTATGAAACGTGGATGTATCAAGTCATGCAAATTTCATTGATGGCTTTCATGAACCAAAGTAATAACTATCAATACCAAAGTTCCACAGCTGTTGCTACAATCTATCCTGGTTCCCTTTCATCTAACACAGGATGGTGTTTCTGTACGACGAACAACTGCAATGTTGATTTCACTACATGTACAAATGGCATGAATATCCCTTCGTATATTTTCACCCCTAATACACTCAAGTGAAGCAACTCGGATCAAAAACTAGAAAACTGATTTTATTTTTATTCGCTCTCATTCACTGTACGTCGTAACGGGGTGATTTTTGGAGTGTCACTAGAACAAACTGTCCTCTTTCCAATGCTAAAAGAATTTTTTTAAAACCTTTTACTGAAAAAAAGTCATAGTCAAAATGGCAAAAGGTCTGTCGTGCTGATCCGAATTACCCCATTTAGGGTAATTCGGACCACTCCAGCAAAAATGTATAGAACATATTTTCCCATCTCATAACTCATTTTTTCTCCGTTCGTATCCGGAAAAAAATTATACTGTCGGGGGTGAGTGTGGGTGTAGGTCTGGATGTGGGTGTGGGTAGGTGTGAGGTGTGGGTGTGGGTGTGAGTAGATGTGGGCGGCGGTGGTATGGGTGTGGGTGGCGGTGGTGTGGGTGGCGGTGGTGTGGGTGGCGGTGGTGTGGGCGTGGGTGTCTTCTTTTGTTCAATATTCACATCCACACTCGAACCCCACACCCACACCCTCGATGAATGTGCCAACCATAGGAGACGATCAAAAGGAGTAAAATGGTAACGAGTATAGCTGTGAGCATGGCTTTATTCTACTCTTGTCTGCGCCTCTTTTTGTTGTGGCAGACACTTGTAATCGAAGCGTTATCGTTCTTGTTTTTCTTCGCACCCCTGAAGCATGTGTTTTCACCTTTCTTTTCTTACCTCACCCTCATGTGATAACTACCGAAAAACTACTGCTGATATACTAATCGGTATAATGTACGCAATACTGGGTGTAGGTGTCGGTGTGAGTGAGAAAGAGGAAACTCGCATCCACCTTCACACCCTCAAATTCAATCGACAAGGTGTTGAATGTGATCCAACGGCATTTTATTACCAAAAAATTAGTGAACGAGGTTCTGAATTACGTGCCATCGTTAATAATACTTCAGTTTTTTATCATGATAACAATGAATGGTCTAATACGAATCTACTAAAGGAAACATAATAATCTCGTAAAGTTTTGTATATATTTTTGTAAAAACTAAGAAAAATATTTTATTTTTTTCGAATGATGTCAATTTAATTAATATATAATAGTTAGTGTATAAATATCATTTCCCTATATACATGGAGGTACTGGCTTATTGAAAAATTTTCTGTCATTATCTAGAATAGTCTACGTTTTATAGACAAACTTAGATAAGTTATCAAATCGAAGACGCATTCCTATAGTTCCATAAAAAGTAAAATGATTCGATGGAATTTTTACAAAACTTGAATTGAATTTCCTTGACTTTAAGTAAATTCGACTTGATTTCTCCTTAATGAGGATGACTGAGGATGAGAATCAGGATTGATAGTAATGAAATCAACTCTACCAACTAGTCACTTCACTCTCTATGGAACAAAACTGCAGAACAGTAAAGAGTAAGTGAGTGATAGAAAAATTTTTATAAGATGTAATGCATAAAAATATTTTCTTTTATTCATTCTTTCTAACTCTCTTGTCAGAGTCAGTTCGACTCACATAACATGGATATGGATGAAGGATTTTTAGAGAAAAATTTTAAAAAATTCAATGCTTTTGAGTGAAAAGGATTGTCATAACTCTTTTTTTAAGGTCCCGAATAGAAAGTACAGCAAAATTTTTAATAATTAGCCAGTATAAAACGTGAAACTTTTGAAGCCTACATCACTAATTTTTCATTTGACCAAGCCTTTATACTTCTCTTTTGGAATATGTATATTCTACGATCTAGCGTGAGATGTTTAAGTATGGGTGAAAGTAAATCAGGAATGGCAATACGTATCTCAGGATGATGAATAACGATTTAAAAGCATCGACACTTTACATTCAATTCCATACCTATACTCAACCATTTGTCCAAGGAAATTATGGTTGTTGACATTTCTTTTTACTATTTCATGACATACGTACGTCAATAATTGGTTTCGACCACCGGAAACAGGCGAATTTCAACGAAAATATAGTAAGAAACATGCGATAAAATATTCGTATTCGGATGGAAAAAAATGAAAATCGATAGAACATGGAAATAGTACTGTGAGTCTGAGTGTCTCTGAATTTTTCTAATGGATTTTGCTCATTTTTTGCGGGAGAGAACGTGAAATTTACTAAAAAGAAAAAAGATCTGCAGGCTTTTCCTCTCGGAATACTGCCTCCACAATCCATCGATTTCTGGTCTTCGTTTGCTGAAACTTGACAGGAAGCATTTATCTAGGAGATGTATGCTAAAACACGATGATTTAGTGCATACACAACAGTTCACAGTTTTCTTGACATACTCTATTGCCTTTTCAGACTGAAATGGTATAGCATTATGAAGTAACTCAGTACATGATGACTATGACACATTCTGATCCAAAGTCTATAAAAGACTTGTTTTGTCTTACATTTTATAATGTCTTGTATAAAAGAAAATTTTTATGTATACATCGACTTTTTTTTTGAAATTCTTATGATCATATATCAGAAAGAATATTGAAAAACATAAAAAAGTGTTTTCAAATTGGATTTTTGTATTACTAATCAAACTGTATGATGATGGATTTATGTTTTGACAAAGATCGACTATTTGCACTAGAAAATAATAAACATGATGTTTGTGCTATAAATAAATTTTCTGATTTCTTCCAAACAAAAATGAAACCATAGCACATGTCATTCTTTTTATTAACAACGAAAGAAAGAATGAAATTCACTTTTTATACTACTATAAAGATGAATATAAGAAAGAAAAGATTTTGACGATGTTTGCTTTTGTTTAAGTGCATTTCACTTGAAGTTTTGTCCATGTGTGCACGAGTCTATTTCGTCTGTTATTATTTTGTATCAATTATTATTTCATACAAATTGATTTTCTATTGGCAATGGGACTCAGTCATTCAAAAGCTAAGATTGATGCATTAAAACGAGAACAAAAATTAATTATGAAATTAAATGCCGATATGGAAAAACAACTTGCTACTCAAGAAGAAGCAAATAAACGAAAACAACAAGCAACTTTTGAACAAATGGTTGCAACGTTATTAGCAGTAGCACAATCAAAAGCGAATGAAACAGTGCTGAATGACGAAAAATCAGAAATAGAAATTGCAGGTACTACATATGAAGTTATTCATTATGTTAGTCGAGGTGGTTTTGGTAAAATTTATAAAGCAACAGTTAAGAATACAGGTCGTATAGTTGCTATTAAAATTTTAGAAAATACACCTGACATACAAGAAGAAATAAAAAATGAAATTAATTTTTTACGTGTAACAAAGAGAATTTGTATCGATAATCATCCAATTATCCAATATCGTGGTAGTAAAATAACCAATGAAGGTATTTTTATTGCAATGGAATATGCTATTTGTGATCTTCGTACATTTTGGAAAAATAAAACATTCTATGAAACAACTGAAGAGATAACAATATTTGGTATGGTTATCATTGTTTATGTATTACGTGCATTAGCATTTCTTGAACGATTGAATATTATTCATGGTGATATAAAACCACATAATATTGTTCTTGTTCCAACTAAAAAATATTTTTGTATCAAATTAATTGATTTTGGTGCAGCCGAAAAAATGAATACTCTACATGAACAATTGACAGTTGATGCAGACAAAATTCATACGGTATTTTTTGCTTCACCAGAATTTTTACAATATGATTCAAAAAATCGTATATCAAGACATCTTCATAAAAAATCTGATGTATGGGCAGCTGGCGTTATGTTTTATCTTTTATTTTGTGGTGAATTTCCATGGAAGGATGAAAAAGAATATAGACATTTTTGTAATGATCGTTATGCACAAGATATTGTTGTACCAGCGGCTGGTGGTTATAGAATGATTATTGAACTTTTATTAAGAAAAAATCCAGATGAACGTTCAAGTGCTAAAGAAACTCTTAAACAATTAAAAGCACATCCTGTATTTGGAAAGATTGTTGAATCATTACATAAAAGTTTTTGTCCTGTAGATGATGTATGTTATATGGAGGTATCTGATGATATTCGACAAGAGTTAGGTAAATTAATAACTATTCTTTTTCTCTTCGAAGAACTATTTTATTCTGATTTAGAAAAAAGCTCTCAACTTTTGTTTGAGTCAATAGCAAAAGAACTATAAGTTTTCCATCATTTCTAATAGAATCATGTTCTAGAATATGTTATCTATCGAAATAGATTTTAGTTGAAGTTGAATAGATCTATCATGTTTCCACTGATTTCGCTTAAATACACAGACGAATTTTCTTGTTCTAGACTTTTTCATTCGTAGAATTTATTTCCAATGATTTATGTTTTTTTCTAATTATATTCAGCACAACTTGCACGACCTGATCATTATACTGGTAGACCTATTTCACCATCCAAGAGAAAATCAGGTAAATATGAAGTTGAATCAATATTCAAGATAATTTACATTTTAATTTCTATTAAAAGTTGAAATACGGCCTCGATGTCGATATTGTCGGAAATGCAATAGGTTTTGTACCAATGTTTTTCATAGAATATTGAAAAACTCTTGTTTCATCTCTTTTTATAGGACAGATCTTGATCATCGCGAAAAATTTGCTCATCCAGGTGATTCGGATTATCATGTACTAGAAGTTTCTGCTGGTGGACTTTCTGAAAATCCAAAATGTCGCTATGGCATATATTGTTATCGGTATGTGATTCTTGTTTATCTTATAAATGATTTACAGTAGTGGACATAAGTCATTATTTGCACGCCGACAATCATTACAATTTGCATTGAAGGGCGGGAAGTTTATAATCACGTATCTCGCCTGTAATATAAACCAGATGCAGAATGTTCGTCGTCTAATCGTTCAAATGCAACAAGGATTATGATAGAAAGTATCTGTTGTTCTTTTTTTTGCAAGATTTTTTTTACCGAAATCCATACAGACTAATCTTTGATATTCCACTTGTATTTAGTATGAGCTTAGATTTTAAATATTCTAGAAAATATTGTCTATGTATAGAGAAAACTTTTTGAATATTTTATAATAGATTTATTCTATCCTCATTGAATTCAAGACTTTCAAATGAAAGTTCAGTGACTTTTCTTCATACAGATGAGAGCGCAGCACTATATAACACAACCTCGACTAATCCGTAAAACTCCTTGTTTTCAGAGTTATGAAACCTAAAAGAAAAATAGCTGTCATTAGTTTCATTCGTCACAATACTAATTTGACTGCAAACAATTAAAGTACAATCTAATGTAATTGCACATGTCTTCAAGTCACTACTACGAAAACTACATCCTATTATGTTTCATTATTATCTTTCATTATAGCAACGATCAAGATCATTGCTCAAAATATTCGCATCCAATTGATAGTGAGCATGGCCATACGAAAATACAACAAGACGCTAACCACACAGATGATTTTAAGTATGTTAAACTAATAATATTCTTATGCAAAAACTTGCAAAAAAAAACACTATCAACAGAGCTGATTTCGGTCAATTCTGATAATTTGTTATTTAATTCCAGGCAGTAGAATTGAAAAGAATTTTAAGGAATAAAAGCAATCTTTAAAGTAATTTCAACAGAAAATTTGATGAGTTTAATTGCTGAAGAACCATAATAAATAAAGTGTAATTAATCACAGGACAATAATTGTCTGATTTGTTTATGCTATAGACAACAGGATACGACTCAATTGGATGAAAACATTACAATCAAACCTTCCATTAGCCAATCGATACAATCAATGTTGACCTTAATGGAAGAATTTTCAAACAAAGGTACATGATTGAAGTTGTAAGATGATTCAATGTCATTTTGTAAATCATTCTTCGACTAGAATTAGACGAAATTAACTAAGGCTTAGGTTTCGTATTCGGACATCAAATAAACATATAATTGTACTGGAACATCCTAGTTACTCTAGACTTATAAGAATAGATCATAACATTGATTCTCATAGGTTTTAATAACCGATACGAGTTTGTAGTAAATTGTTCATCAACAATCGAAACTATCAAATTATAGGGTAAGTAGAAGTTTTGTATTTGGTAACTGTCAGTTCCACATCATATACAGTGTTTAGTTGTTCTAACAGGCTTGCATTACAGTTGAGAAAGATTTCACTGGTATTGCTACGAAATTCAAATTTGAAAGACAATCGTAAAGACAAGAGAATACTATGCGAAAATGTTTGCCATAGTCTATTGGATGAATAATGAGCAGAGAATTGAGATTCATTTTTATAGCCGAGTGCTACAACACTCACTGCCGATCGTGTAGTAGACAAGAATAAGTAATAGGTTACAACTAGTTTGTGAAAGTGAATTTATATTTCTGTTGGAAACAGATGGTGCCATCGTAACATCTTTCTATCTTCAATACAGCGTATGATAGACTTCGCAATGGAAGTAAAACATTCTGTAGGATTGTTATGAAAGAAGATTGAATTTAAGATATTTGTCTATGATTTCCTGTCCAAACTTACTGTCGTGCATCACGATTCGCATCATTCATTATGAACATATTAGTACGCTTGGTGTTACAAACGAAAGCATATGTCGTAGAATTCCTTAGTTGACAAAATATGAACATCCATCGTATTTTATATTTTAATCAAACAACGATCCTGCTAATAGATCTTTTTTAATTACAACTGAGCGAGTGTTATTTTTCATAGATTGAACAGCTGTACATCATCTAAAATAATATAGAACAGCAAAAAAAAAAAGACTAGTTCACATGATGATTCTAAACAGTATTAAATTTTATTTAGGTCAATCAAATCATTTGCAACCATCACCACATCTGAAAAACTCCACTTCTGACGATCGTCGATCTTCATCATACCAATGTTTACATATATAGTTTAGTATTCATGCCTGTTATTGTATTCATCAAGTTCTTCTTGATAATCGTGATTATGGAATGATTTCGCACATCGATGATTATGATGATAATCCTACTGATCATTCTGACTATTCATTTACCTTGCAACATTAATTTTTGTTACTAGTTTCAAATCTTTTCTAACACCAAAGTCAAAGTAATCGAAGAGAACATCACTTTTTTCCCGATCCTGTTACTAATATTGATTCTACTAGCAGTTCTGACGATCATACACCTATCAAGCATTCTAATAGTCACTCATCGCATATTGAACCATTTTCAAATTATTCATTTTCTACATGAGACTGTTTGATGTCACGAATACAAAATGTTTACATGTAAATGAATAAAATTTTTTAATAGAATCTTTCTTTTTGACAACCATTTATCATAGTATCATAAATTAAGTAATTAACTTCATGTTTTTCTTTTTAATTGAGTAAAATAATTGAATAGAACCTTGCTTTAAACTATTCATTTATGATCTACTCTTGGATAATCTTATTAAATCCAAACTTCACCCTATGAAATATTTAACATATAGTTGAATACGAACTTCTTTGAAATTATTCTTTTCTCATGTACTTTTTCTTCATATTACAAACTTCAATCATTTCCTTTTGATATGGAATATTTGAATAATATTATCTTTGAAAGTATTCATTTGCTACATGCTCTCTGATTACGTTTTGATCTCTGAATTTTCATCTCTAAGCATGACAATAGTTGAATACAATAATGATTAGAATAATTCGTTTGTTATGTAATCATTAACAAGTTATGCAATTAAAATTTCTCAATGAAAGATGAATAGATTAATGGAACAGATTTGTTCGAAGAATTATATATTTCTTGTGTGATCTACCAATAAGTTACCAACTCCAAAGATTTAATTTCAAGTCAAAGAAACATTCAAACATAGTCTATTAAAAAAGATTCATTTGGGATAGTATTCTTATTTCTATATTTCTATCTTGTCAGTATTTTCGAAAATGTTCATAGTAATTGAATCTAATTTTTCGTATTATAATATATTTTTCATGTGATGCTTCTATCATATTTAACTTTAAAGTCTTACTTCGAAAAATAGTAAAAATTGTTGAATAGAATTGCTTGCTTATTATCAATCATTTATTATATGATCTTTTGTGATATCGATTTTTGAGATTTTTTGCATTTAAGCAAGAAAAATACTTGCTATGAACTTTCGTTAAAGCTAGTTTATTGCTATGTGATTTGTATTAATGTTCTACATTTAAAAATTTTGTTTTTTAGAAAGAAATTATTTGAATTCAATCATAATCATCATCATTCTTTTATTAAGTGATCTTTGATAAATTGAACTATTCGAAATAATAGCTTCGAGATGTATTGACTAATGGAACAAAACTTTCGTCTTGAAAATTATTCATTAAACAGATTGTCTTCAATGATCATTTTAATTGAAAAGTACTATGTAAATATAAAAAAAATATTTTTATTCAATTCTGATTATCATCATTCATTTGCTATGTATTCTTACATCATATTATCATTGCCTTGTGTTAGTATCGGAGTGATTTCAATTTGTAAAGACAAGTCTCGTTAAAGTTATTCAATTTTTATATCAAATTTTTTTCTCTAGACTAACTGTAATGTTTTTCTTTTCAGACAAATACAATACATTAACATTATCTTGATGATCATTATTTATTTATCGAAAGATCTTCGATAAATTACACGTATCGAAACTTTTATTTTGAAGTGATCATAATACTTGTAGAGTAATCTCGCAGTGTATGTTGTATTCTTATGCGATCGGAGATTGTGTTGTTAATGTTAAACTGTTCGTTTAAAACGATAAAAATTTTTGAATAGAACCAAAATGATAATGGTTCGTTTGCTACGTACAAATTAATTAAATTTCATATTCTGAATCTTCTTTTTTAGGTAAACAAACTATTGAATATGAGACTGATTAGAATAATTCATTTGTTATGTAATTGTTAATAAGTGATACTAGTTGAAAAATTTCGTCCAAATGCGAAGAAAATTGTTGAACTAAATTGTCTTTATGATTTATATTTTACATTTATCATGTATTATTAATTTGGCATATGATCTATGATAATTTTCGCTTCGAAGTCTTTATTTTAAAGTGAATACAATACTTAAACAGAATCAAAAAAAAAAATATTATGCTTGAAATTGTAATAAAGATATTTGTAGTATCACGTTTCACTTGTTGCAAAGAAATGTACAAGTGAATACGTTGTTTTCTTGTCTACAAAAATAAGATTATAGATAATTCTGTAAAAACAGATTGTTTGAGTTGTAATTTGGTGCGTCTCAATGGCTTACGGATAACTGAACAGATTTTTCTCAAGTGGAAGTCAATAAAAGAACATGAGATATTTGCATTGTTACGCTTATCTGTTGCTAATGTCGCTTACAACAATTAAGGGGAAGTTTAAGAGCATTGGTATGTAAAAGTTATTTTGATCGAAAATAGTTGTTGAAGTCATTTTTGTAGATTAAACAAACTTTTAGAATAGTTCGTATTAAAAGAAATGAGTTATATAGAAAGTCAAGCTGTATTCGTGCTAGTTGACTAACTGAAATTAACATTACAGATAATATTGAGTTAAGAAAAATAAAGCAGTTTGAATAGAATCCTGTTCATCCTGTAACAGAATAGCAAAGATAGTCTCCTATTCAGTCATAGACTTGATAAAGAAGTTGAAAGTTATACAAATTATCAAACATGTGAAACACATCTATTTATATAAAAAAATTTACAATAGTTCATGGATTGCAGTGTCTCTCATGAATTAAATAAAAGAGTCATTCAAAAACAAAAAGAACGTCCTTCACGTAGCTTTTCACGATGTTGTGATGTATCGTAATTGTATAAAATGTTTGAGAACTTATAACTAGAGTACTGCAACTTGCAGACCAGTTGCCTATATCTGGGTAAGGGTATAGAAACTAAAGGTTTGAGGAGACATGAACTACCTTTTTTTAACATTTCAATGCATAAAGAGAATGAAAATATGTCATATTTAAATACTGACTATTAATAGAGATATCCTTTATGATTTAATTCAGTAATGAAAATCAATTGATTGCATTCAAAGATGAAAAAAGAACCGTGATTCTTCATATAGTATGTATTCAATGTAAAATCATCTTAGTTTATGTTTTACAAAAAATTGATTAGGAAACATTTTAAAATTCATCATGAAAATTGTACATAAAAACCTATTATGATATCTAAGATTACAACTTATGTAAAACATAAAGAATATCACAAAGTTTCGTGTGTATGATACGAGATCATTTTATTTTGTTAGTCGATATGGTTTTCAAAGATTGACTCAAATTTTACTCGCTATTGGCCATTCAAGTGATCATGAAATCAAAGTTTCAGATATTTCATCAGACTCTAAAAACAAATATTTCGTATGTAATTACAAATAATCGTTATTTTTGTTTATTCTTCTGCTGTATTAATGACAGAAAAAACGTTGATCTTGTCATTGAAAAATGTTTTCCTATATATTTCTTTCAATCCGTGGATTAGACTATGCACAAAGGTTAATCTATGATTAGTGTATACATAAGATACGACCAATACAATTTTCCAACATGAAATATTTATTCATATAGAATATATTATCCTGCAAATGTAATGCTCGTTCTTTGCCACTTTGGTCCTGAAGATTTCTTCTTGTATAGATAAAAAAAAATTGTTTTCATATTTTAACTGAGAGAAAAGCTACCTTAAAAAAATTACTAATAGTATTGAGCACAATTTATCCTATTGAATCATGTATTATAAAGAAAATTTCACCTTAGAACAAGCACACAACAGTCCACATAAGATTGTGGTTAGATTGTTTCGGAAGAATAAAAAATGGCATACTCTAATTCGATAATATATGAAAAACTGAACAGATTAATGAATTAATCTATGGATTTCTATCGATATACTATAGGTGTAAAAACAACCTCGATTTTAACGAAAATATCTCATATATTAAATCAAATACAATAAAATAATAAACAGCTACATTATATAATATTCACCTCTTTGTTTTAGAGCTTATTTATTTTCATCTTGTGTACAAAGTCATCACCAATTCAGAACCCGTATGAATTGAAAAGAAAGTCGTAAGGATAAACATATGCATATGTTTGGCATGGGTGTGGATGAAAACTACGTTTAAACCTACACCCACACTACAGTTTGCACACATGATGAATTATATCTTGCAGATTAATATTTTTGTACTGTTTGTCTGCTTGTTACACTAATCTTTACATTCATCAAAGTATATTGTTATTTTTCGACCATCGTTCGTTCGTTCAAGTGATTTAATCGTAAATGGTATATAGCGTAAGATCAATATTTCCTGTTCATCTCCAAAATTGTTTATCTTTCTCAGATCAAGCGCTGTACGACGGCGAGTACTATTAACATTATATGTGCAAAATATTAATATTGGTATCATATCTACAGAAGGAACTGTGGAAAAAGCCTCCGCTACCATAGGATCTGTAGTTGTTGATAAAAATGTTGTTGTTATTATTGTAGCATCTTCCTTGTAATTAGCTATAGGTTTCTCATCTGGAAGAATTGTGTCACGATAAACTGTTCTATTTTGAACAATGAATTCATCTAACTCTTGATGAAAAAGGAGACTAGTAATATCTTCTGTATACTCTTGTGTTTGAGTCAAAATCGGACAGTTCAATAACGTGCAGTAGAACTTTAATGCATGATATGTATGTACAGCTGAATATTTATTTAGACGCTTACTGAGTTCTTGAGCCAAAATGTATCCCTTGATGATCGGTAACAGACTGTCTTCTTGAAAACTTTTTCTTATCATATTTCATTCATTGTCAGTGGACATGAAGTGTAAAAATTTTGATTTTTCTAATTCTCGATGAAATGTTTTGACTATTTTTATAGCATTATCCTTTTCACCAATAACCAAATGCCATTCGCACCAGACTAATTTTTCTCGTTGACGTAGAGTATTATGGAGGTCGTAAAAACCAATCGAATCGATCTCCCATCGTAGTCTTTCCAAATCCGATATGAATGATGTGTTAGATGTTATATGATA